GTGTGTGTGTGTGTGTGTGTGTGTGGCCTTGTAGCTTTTGCGAAGTTCAACGACAACCATAAAATACTTATTATCTCTGGTACCAGCTATTACAGATTTCACGTTATGTTTCATTGAGACATTTCCTTTGTAAGTAATATAATGTATGTGTATGCATACATATATACTTGTAATTTGACGACATTTTCAGAGCATTTTTAAGCACCACATTTTTTTTTATCTGGTACCTTGAAGATTTTCAAGAATAAAAGGAGTGTATAATAATTATAATAATAATATTATTAGTCCAACCACACTATATCTGTCATATCCAATTACCGACGATGCGTTTCACTCAGTCCAGAACTCATCAGACCGGTTGGGATACAACAAACACAGTAGTGGTCTGTACATTATATAGGCCATTTGTTACAACAATTCTTGAAAATCTTTAAGGGATTGCATAAAGAATGGTGTGTTTAAAAATGTAATAGGCCTAATACTGATGTCTTATGTATAATTGTAATCATTATTCGTCATATTGTAAAAGGCGTACACACCATAACTATTATTATACATTGTGTCCTTTGAAAAAAGAAATGTTTAGTTTTGTACTTCACAAAATGTTAGATTAATAAAAAGTCATGTCACACATGTGGGAAAAATAAAACAGTTATAGAAAAACAAAAACATTCTATTACGCCGTACAGACCGCTTTATGAACTTGTAGTGCGGCAGAATAATTATGTATAGCGGTAATTATGCGAGAATGCTACAAGTTTGGAGATTAACACAAGTATAACACTTTCGATGCGTTGTAACTTTATGGCGCAAGCATGCGGTGGTGCATAATAGAATAGTAATTTTGAGGAAACCTTTGTAAGATTATAAGAAAGCAACGGAAGCTGTGTTGTGTTTAATTTTTATACATTTATAACTATAAACAAAAACTTTATTCACTGTGTGAGATGAAATGCGTCATAATTTAAAGCATATTAAGCAATACATATACAAATAAAACTAAATAGAGTCTGAATTCAACGTAACAAATAAAACCCATACTTCAGAGTAAATAAATGTTATTTTAATTGACGTATAAAACCGACTTAAAATGTTGCGTGGGTTAAAGATGTTCACCTTTAAATTTTACTTGACCACTAATTCATGGTAAATGAGCTTTTCCAAATTTCCTGTTACAAGTTGATGTCAAGCAGGTCAACATTAAGTCAGTATCACTTAACACAGAAATAAAACTTGACAGTATTATCATGCATACTAATAGAGGGAGACATAATTGATACTTGAAATTCGTTTTCATGAATGACTTGACAGTTATAATAAACTATTTCTGCCGTGTAATTCAATATATTAGTACTTTGTTGGTAATGAATAAAAACCCTATAACCAGAGCGCTTTCGAAAGGTGAACCTTCGTCAGTTTGCCCCTGAAGAAGAAAGGGTTATAGGGTTTTTATTCATTTCTTTCAAGACTTCTTGAACCTACATGTTTTTCTAACATCATGAAAATACTCTGTTAGTAGTATGATTGAGGTTTATAAACATTTAGACTGACCGTTTATGACTCGAAATTTTTTTTAATCAATGTATAACATTAGTAATACGATGGTTAACTGTATAGTTATAGAAATGTCAATAAAATATAAAACAGCCATCAGAAGAATGGCTGAATCTTCCGACCATTAGCTTTTTTGTTGTTTTGGTCTATTGATTAATATGGTATGCTTGTATGTATATCTTGTGGATATGTTTTATTTTGCATAGAAACCTAACTTGTTTTGTTGTTTTTAAATGGACACCTTGACCTTTTTAACTTTAAATCAGTAGGTTTCTTTCCAATCTCGAACAGAAGTGACCTTTGAAGTTTAATTAAAATATGCTGTTTAGAACTGGGTCGTGTAGAAAGGAGATGAACGAACAGCGTCAACACTATATTCCCCAACCTTTTCGGTCGGCAGTAGAGCGGGGAGCTAAAAAAAAAAAAAAAGGGTTACCCGATAAAAATGTATATAGTAATTTCGAGAAGAATGGGGTGATAAATAAATTAAAGGCTTTAAGACGTATTATTTTGAGGAAGTGATAAATCTCACGTTAGTGGGAGAAGTAGCGGAATTAATGTACACTTTACAAATGACGTTATGAACATGAAGGAAGTAACCAGTTTGCAAGTCTGTTTAGATAGATCTAATTCAGCTACTTATGCAATGATTTATTTCTTTTTAATAGTGTTATACGTATTTAAACACGAGCTGTATCATTTGTTTACGTGGGATTACAGTATAAACAATAGGCCACAAATGTGGGATATTACTTGTTTAAGCTATCCTGTTAAACTTGTTTTATTATTGTTGTTGTTGTTGCAAGAATTGTCAGCATCATATTTCAGTTGTTTAATATTTGTAGTTGGATAGCTACATTTGTTACATTGTTTCTCAAACTTTTTAGGTGGTCCCCTTATTTTTTGTCTGTGATGCACTTTACCCCCCCCCCCCCAAAAAAAAAATGCGCGCCCCACAGTGTAAGAATCACTGACAGAGTAAACAGTACAGGTGACTATTACTGTATTACGTGTGGCAGTGATCACGTATAATGTGTTGAGAACGTATATACATATATAATTATTTCACGTTACGTATTTCTGTAACATCGATTTTTCACAGTTTTTAAACAGCTGTGGGTGGATAAAACCTAATCGTGTAATATCTTTGTATCTCTTTTTTTATATATATGTAGAAGGCGGTACCAATTCCTCTTTGTAGCTTTTGTCGGGGAACGGCAGAGAGTAACAGGGAAGGGATTTCGGAGGAGCTTATCTCGTGCGCCGACTGTGGAAATAGCGGTAAGTTGACCTTTCTATAAAACAATACATTTAAGTTAGGTTTAATCTGTTTTTGGATGTTTATTATTTTGTAATGTCTGTGTATGTGTAGTTTGAACATTAAATTTTCATTTATGCTAGTCCCACCTTAACCCAATGTTTTTAAATGCTGATGAATCTCCAATGTTATTTATTAATGCCCCGAATAATTTTAGGAATGACTGGATTTTTTTTGGGTGGGGTGGGGTAAAGTGTGTTTGACCATCACTATGGAATTTTTTTTTATCTGTCCAATTTGTATATCTTTATATTTTACTTTGTAGTTGTCTGCTTCTTAATTTTCGTTTTTCGACGAAGGAAGAAGTAATAAACTCAGTGACACGAATCAGCTTATCTATATTCTAGTAGTTTTTGTAAATCGTAGTTAGATTCGATGTTCCTTAGTCTTTTTTATTTATTTTTTAAGTAACCCGATTGTGAGATGTCTCGTGCTTTAAGCTGCGTAGCTGATCAACCTTTTAAATTTGTTTACCGATCCATGTGGCCTGGTGGTTAGGGCACTCGACTCGCAATCTGAGGGTCGCGGGGTCGAATCCCCGACACACCGAAAATATTCGCCCCTTTTAGCCGTGCGGGCGTTATAACGTGACAGTCAATCCCACTATTAGTTAGTTGTGGGTGTGGCCATGGGTGGTGTTCACTAGCTGTCTTCCCTCTAGTCTATCACTCCTAAATTAGGAACGGTTAGCGCAGATATCCCTCATGTGGCTTTGCGTGAAATTCAAAACAACTCAGCCCGATCAATGCAGTGAATATTTTATTTAATTAAATTATGTTGCTTTTTGAGAAGGGGTGGGGGGGCAGCACTAAGAAAAAAGTAATTGATAAAATTGGTAATTGCAGTTCTCATTATGTGATCAATATATAGATATTTTTTGTGTCATTAAACGATTCCATTTCACTAGTTGGGTTAGATTTTTATCATGACTAAATTATAATAGTTAAATCTCCTTAAATATTGATCTAATCAAAAATTTAATTGTTACATTTTACAATTTTGTATTTTTATATTGTGCTTACGTAACTTGACTTGCCAAGGATCAATTTTAAGGAATAGTGTTGACATCATTATATACGTCTTAACCTCATAAATAACAAATTATGGGCTGTGTCTTGGGGTTTGCGTAACGCTTCCTGGCCAGTTTCTGTCAGAATATCAAGTTTTTCGAAATGTCGCATGTTTGTGATTTTCTTTACTTTTTTACTTAAACAGTTAACGTTTATGGCTTTGAGTACTAATACGTCGAGGTATACAGTTATTCTTAAATCTTTTTAAAGACTGCTTTTAAAACCGCGTCTTTCAATGGATAATTTTGTAAAGCACAAATATTTGTATTTGTTAAAATGTAAACTGATTTCGAAAGAAGAACTAAACAAAATATCAGGATAAAGGTATATAAAAAAATCATTGATCTAGTTATTCTAGAATAAAATTATAAAATATTTCGCGTATAGTGAGTGATGTACTATTGACGCGAAGCCAACAATGATTTGAAGATGTGTACTGATATGATTGTTGACAGCGCTGGGGAAAGAAACAAACATGCCCTATAGCCAAGGAAACGCTTCTTTCTTTGGTTAGTGTGTCAGTGATAATTACAGGAAATGAATGATTGCTTTGTTAAGTTTCCGCTGGTCGTAACTACAGTAGTATGAGTGAGAGCTTTGAAAGTTGAAAAAAGATCGTGTAGTTTGTCGCCCGAGGTGCTGAAGAATTGGAAACCTCTCTAGGTGATGTGGTTATATACACAGACGTGTCTTGTGTACCAGGTTTCGCTCGCTAGACGGGGACGCGCCAAGGGCAACAGAAATTAGTGTTCACGTCACGGTTTGTGACTTCCATGCTAGAGCAACAGCAGGCGTCTTACCTGTGGGTGTTCTGTGTTCAGGGGATCTTAATATTGCGAAAATTTGTTGAAACATTACCTCTACCTACCACCGTACGTTGCTATAAATAAAAATTAGTATAAAAGCCCGTCAGAAATGATGGGAAAGTATTGTTGATGATTAATAAAAATTATATAATTTAACTAAAACGAATTTGTCTGTACCATCAAGATGCACCTACTCTTCACATATTTTATCAGTCTCGAAGTAATTCTTTAATTACTTTAATAATTCTTTTTGATAAAAACTACGCTGAAAAATGAAATGCACTCTGAAAGAGACTTAAATGACACCCTTGAGTATATTTTATTTTACTTTTGGCTACAAGTCAATGTCATAACTTCTGAATTAAACTATTTTGCAAGCATATCACCGAAATTATAAAAAAAAAAACTTTATAATAAATCAACAAGAATATTCAGCATTCAACATAAACACCATAGTTGGCCTAAGAACAATCAAGTGATAGTTTTTGTTGCTAAGCGACGATCTATATTGTTGAGCATTACCAAAAAAATTAGGATGAAAGCGTTCTCCACAGAGTGACAAATGGAATAAGTTTTTTATAGTTTATGCTAATTACTTATAATTTTGTTTTATTTAAATACAATAAAGTAGAAAAGCCTTTACGTACAGTTTTAAGGGTGTCATTAAATAAAGATAAATGGTTTAGGGAAGATGTACCGTAAACTCTGTGTAGAGTATAATTACGTTTTATATTATTATTAAAGTTGTACTTTTATGTTTATGTAATTGTCTCAAGTGTGTGTGTGTGTGTTTTATTTCATTGTTTTGCACTTGTTTATCGTTGCCATCTTACTGTCTGAAAAAGTTAATTAACAATTTTCATTTGTAAAATGGAATATCGAAATATCCTGTTTAAACAGAATTCAAGAATGTGCCCAAGAAATAGAGATTTAATCTGTGCCTATTAGAGTAATCTCTAATAAGAATTTATTTTACTTAAAATTTAAGCCAGTTGCTACTATGCCAAGTTTTTGTGATACATTTTTAAATTGCTTCCCATGTGAAGTTTCGTTTTATTGTTGTGATTTATTTTTTCTTTATGTGAATAATTTGTTTTAGGACACCCAAACTGTCTAAAATATTCTCCAGAACTGACTGCACGTGTGCTGAACACTAGGTGGCAGTGTATTGAATGTAAGACGTGTAAAGTGTGTGGAAGTAGAAATCAAGCAGTAAGTAAAATAGGGCAAAACACATTCTTGATTTTCATATATTTCTTGTTATTTATAATAAACCTTTAGCTATCTGTTCTGAATAGTGCAGGTTTTTCTTATGTTAATATTAGACTAAAAATAAAAATCAACAGGGTAATGAGCATAGCTAATTAAAAATATAGTGTTCTTACTTATAAAGGTTGTTTCATCATTTGGTACCCTTGGTGTTAAACAGTTAATATTTTCATTAATTGTTATGTGTTTAATATGTAGATTTTTTTTTGTGCCATCAAACAATTTCCTTTCCTAAGCTGGGCTAGATTTTATCATTAGCAATATCTGAATATAGCATTAGATCTCCAAAAGATATTACCATAACATATTGATCTGATTTTATTATTGGAATGTGGAAATGTTTTTTAAGTATTAACAAAATCTAGCCTAAACTCCATAATGTTGTCACTATCACCTCGTTTCTGAAATTGGCATTGTGGTAATGGAAGCATCTTGTATCTGTTTTTTGCATTATAATGCACGACGATGTTTGTTTTACCAATGCACAACTATTCAGCAACGTTGTGGAAATGTCAATGTGTTAGCTGGGTAGTAAGCCTTACTTATATAGTGTGTAATGCAAAACTTCTAATACATGTTTGTAATGGAGATACTTTGGTCAGTATCATAACAAATGTTTGAAAAAAAAGAGCTAATCACAAAAATTAAAAATTAAATTTTAGATATAACTTTTTTGCAAGTCTAAGAACTTTTATAATCATGTTGGTTTTATTTTCACACTTAAGTCAAAGAAGGACTAAGCAAACGTAGTTATGCGTGGTATCTTCGTAAGATTATGTGGTTTGTTTTGATATCTATGTGTAACATTAATTTTGTAGGTACTTAAGTGCTTGGAAATAAAAGTCATTAAAAATGAATCTTCATGTGAAAGGCTTAATCCTATTTTATTTGATAATTTTTCTAGGAAGACTTGTTGTTTTGTGACTCCTGTGATCAAGGCTTTCATATGGGATGTTTGAAACCACCACTAACAAAGATGCCAAAAGGTATTTCTGTCTTATTTTTTTATTGCTTTGTACATGTTTTATGGTGTTTCAGGTGCATCTTAGGTGAGTCTAGATGACATTTTATGGCACCTGTGCTACAGTAATCAAAACATCAGGTGCAAAGAAACTGGTATCTGCTATTTGTAGAAGTTTATCTGTTAACAATATAATATGTTGTAGCTAATAAAATATATAAATTGAATTCAGTAGCAGTTTTGATTTTTCTTATGCTTCAAGAAACCCACTAAAGATGCATTTTACTTCAAAATGCATAGGTGAAAAGTCAGAGTGTGCATGCCATTCAACATGGTATTATGCATTTGATGTCAGAGTTATCAGGGTTTCGTGTTATCTTACAGTGCTAATTTTGCAACAGTTTGAATTAGAGTTAAGAAAGTACCATATACAATATACGGGTATACTGAAAAACAAACTATATGTGTATTTTTAGTAGGTTGTGGAGGTTATGCAAATGGAATTTGTAAACTGCATGATGGATAAAAGTAATTTTATTCTGCACATGAACATCACCTTGCACTCCAACTTGTTCAGAGTCTGAGTAAAATTGATGTTGGCAATTCACAGACATCTTTTTCATACAAAACCTTTAATAACACATCTTAGTTTTCTGTGTACAAGTAATCTTATACTGTTGATTGAGTAAAAGCCTGCCACGCTATATATATATTACTTAAAGTACCATACTTTATAATTTGAAATTATAATCTTATGTATTGCCTGTTTCAGTGATATCTATCTTGGTAGTGTTAACAGCTTTGTGTTACTCAAAAGTTCAGGTGAATTTTAATCAACCTTAAGATGTATTATGGACTGAAATGTCCATTAAAATCTAGCTTAAGCTATATAATGCTGTCATCGTTACCTGATGCTACATAATAATGTCATTGTTACCTCGCATCATTTTGTACCTACTCTAGAGTCTAGACAGTGACATTTCTAAGAATTAGTTTTTAGGGTCAGAAAAAAAATTAACATTTTCATGTAAGTGGGAGTAATTATGTAGATAATTTAAAAGTCTTAAAAGACTATATCTCAGATGGGGGGGGGTGCACAATGCTCTTCCCACACCATATCGATGGACACGCCCATGCCTCTAGTAGAGCATGTTTTGAAATTTGATTGTTCAATCAATATAACAGTAAGTGGGAGAAGTAGGTTTATCACATATTCTTCAGATATTCTTGAATTAAGTCACAAATTTTTAGTAATCAGAGGTCTTAATAAAAAAGTACTTAAAACGTGTA